CCGCATCCTCAGGAGGCCTCTGCCCCCCTTATCGGACCCTCCCGCCGCCCCAGCACGCGCTCCAGAATGAGGATGGACGACGCGGCCTCCGACGACATCCTGACGGTGGCTCAGCGTCGTCAGGCGGGTCGCAAGAACGGCCGCGGGCCCTACCCCAACGACCACGTGCTCAGGATCGACAACTTCACGGGCCTCGAGACCCCGGCCATCACGCCGCCCGCGTCCAGGGTGAGTGCGCCCGCGTTTCCCTTGCGCCGGCGAGGGCGACGCACGGGCTTCGGTTTAGTCACTTTGCAGGTTCTACTTCATGCTGTGTGTGTGGGGTGTACACACACACACATATATACATATATTTACATATATATATATATATATATATATATATATATATATATATGCGTAAATATATTTACAAGGATATATACATGCATATAAACATATATATATGCATATATATATATATATATATATTATATATATATATATATATATAATATATATATACAATATTTACTTAAATATATACAAACATACGTCTGATGTAAACATCTCTCTCTCTCTCTCTCTCTCTCTCTCTCTCTCATATATATATATATATATATATATATATATATATATAGATAGAGAGAGAGAGAGAGAGAGAGAGAGAGAATAAGAATACATATATCTGTAATATATATTATATATATATATGATGCACACCACACACACATATATATAGCTGATATATATATTCACCGACTGATGATTCGCCGACAACCATCTGGCCGAACGGCAATTTCGCCGCTTGGCTGAATGGCGAATCAAAGCATCCCCAACTGTAGAATAGAAATGTTCACAGTGGCCATTTTCATTTCATCAGTGAAAATATTATTCAAGATAACATTTCTTCAAAAACATAAAGTGGCAAACATTTCTTCAAAAGTAAAATACTTGTAAACTTGAATTCAAAAATATAATAATGACAAATATGAATTCAAGAACACAATAGAGGCAAACATTTATTTTGAAACGCATTTATTCAAAACAAAATCAATATATACATATATTCAAAATTTGAGCCTGTGAGCAACAATCCTCCAGAGTCCAATCCTTTCTGTCTTCTGTGGAGGAATATCGCCCGAAAATGGGTCAACAAACGAGTATTGTCGTGTGACATTAATAAGGTCATTCCAGGTTGCCATGAGGAATGACCGCAGAAGAGTAGAAAAACCCACAATGCACAAAATAGTTTTATTGAAAATGAGACAACAGTTTCGAAATCCTCTTGGATTGTATTCGTAGACCTGAAGATGAAAATTCAGAAGAATTTCGAAACGCTTTTCTCATTTTCAATACTAGCTTGTACATTGCGGGTTTTTCTACCATAGTATTAACACGTTCGAGTGTTTTACCATTCATATATATATATATATATATATATATATATATATATATATATATATATATATATATATATATGCTTACATGTGTGTATGTGTATGTATATATTTGTGCATTTATATATGTATATTTACACACTTTCTTGCAGTACAAGAGAAATAGCTGTAGCTCACAGAGGAAAATAACAGTAATACATGTTTATCCCAAAAGCATATATTCAAATATTCATACCAACAAAATACAGTATGAATAACTTTCGCTGCACACGTCATATTCTAAAATAACGAGGGAAATTGTTGTCCTCGTAGAAACACCTTACATAAGTAGATGTATTTTGTATAAACGAATAACAGCACTCTTTTACATCATGGCAGAGTAAGATAGTATTACCCATGCATGCGAGGGCTAATATATTAATAATTCTATAAAGGATACGTAAAACGATACGAAATGTGCATCTAGTAATCAGTAAATATTTGAAGATTATGTCACGCCTTCGCAAAAACGAACATAAGACGAAACTCACAGTGTACTGCTTCAGAAGCAGAACGATAAGATACTACGTTTTTTATGGCTTGTTATTCTAGCGTGAGTTTGTTTGGTGATTTGCATGCCAGATACTCGTATGATAATGCTTAATATGGTGGTGATTATAATGATGATGAAAATGGTGATAGTAATAGTAGCTGTAGTACTAGTAGTAGTAGTGGTGGTGGTACTAATGACAATTATAATGAAAATAATCATAATGATGATATTAATGATAATAATGATAATAGCAAATAGAATAACAATTAGAATGGAAATAATGGAAAAATAAATTATCTTAGCAGCGATGATAAAACACAAAAACAATACCAAAAATCATAATGGCAATAATCGTAAAGAGGGTAACATACTGCAGTATTTCTGAACAACAACCAATATGTTTAATTAAAGAGAAGGTCGGCTACCCCTCACCCACCTGCAGGAGAGGTATTGATCATAAATACTATATGGAATCAATATATCGTTATAATAAGTCTTCTTAATTCCTTCATCGATAGCGTCCCAGCGATGTCATTCGGGAGGCAGGCGAAAATATAAGAACCGATAAAGGAAAGAAGAGCAAGGAGAG